TCCACCGAAGGCCCCAGTGGCTGCTCTCGCATGTGCGTTCCCCACCCAGGGCAGCGTTTCGTGGCCCTATAGGGAGCTCCGCCGAAGGCCCAGTGGCTGCTCTCGCATGCGGTTCCGCACCCAGGCCACGTTTCCTGGCCCTATAGGGACTCCACCGAAGCTCCAGTGGCTGCTCTGCGCATGCGGTCCCCCACCCCGGGCAAGCGTTGCGTGTGCCACCATAGGGAGCCTCCCCGAATGGCTCCCCAGTGGCGCAGTTCGCATGCGGTTCCCCCGCGGGCAGCGTTTCGTGGCCCTATAAGGAGCTTCACCGAAGGCCCCAGTGGCTGCTCTCGCATGCGGTCCCCCAACCCAGGGCAGCGCTTCGTGGCCCCATGGGGAGCTCCACCGAAGGCCCCAGTGGCTGCTCTCGCATGCGGTCCCCCCACCCAGGGCAGCGTTTCGTGCCCCGTAGGGAGCTTCACCGAAGGCCCCAGTGGCGCAGTTCGCATGCGGTTCCCCCGCCCAGGGCAGCGCTTCGTGGCCCCATAGGGGCTCCACCGAAGGCCCCAGTGGCGCAGTTCGCATGCGGTTCCCGTGCCCAGGGCAGCGCTTCGTGGCCCCATAGGGAGCTCCACCGAAGGCCCCAGTGGCCCAGTGGCGCAGTTCGCATGCGGTTCCCCCACCCAGGGCAACGTTTCGTGGCCCCATAGAGAGCTCCACCGAAGGCCCCAGTGGCGCAGTTCGCACCACCCAGGGCAGCGTTGCGTGGCCCCATAGGGAGCTCCACCGAAGGCCCCCGTGGCGCAGTTCGCATGCGGTTCCCCCACCCAGGGCAGCGCTTCGTGGCCCCATAGGGAGCTCCACCGAAGGCCCCAGTGGCGCAGTTCGCATGCGGTTCCCCCGCCCAGGGCAGCGCTTCGTGGCCCCATAGGGAACTCCACCGAAGGCCTGCCCCAGTGGCGCAATTTGCATGCGGTTCCCCCACCCAAGGCAGCGTTCCGTGGCCCCCTAGGGAGCCCCACCGAAAGCGGCACCCACAACGCGTTACGAACAATTGCTTATGGTTGGGTCCTTCGCCAGGATACTTTTCGTTGGTGCCCTCTTTGAAAGAAATCCTCTTGGAGGCCCTCTTGGGACGTTTTGGAAACCTTTGGGGCCGTCTGGAGACTACTTTGGCGATTTGGACCGATACTTCGGCGATTCGGGGCCCTCGAGGACCGTCTTGGGGGCATCTTAGGGCATTTTTGCCGCGGATTGTGGCTTTTCTGAGCCCCCGAACCGCCCAGGGGGGAGTCGTTTCTGGACCCTGACCCCGCCGATCTGTGTGAGGGGTCATCGAATGTCAGAAATGTGGCAAATCCTTTGTGTTATTGGACCCTGACCCCGCCGATCTGCGTGAGGGGTGTCAATTTTTACCCACCCCAGCAATTCAGACAACACGCTCAGGGCGTGGTAAAAATGCCCGTTTTGGGCCTCCTCCCCTCGCGCGGTCCATCAACAAGGAACAGTATGCAGCAATAAGCATAACTGTAACAGTGGAAACTGGAAGCTGCAAAGAAGCAGAACTTTAACAGTGGAAGCTGGAAGCTGCAACTGGTGCAGGAAACTGCAAACCTTCGTCCTACAGCCTGGTGGCCCCGCAAGGGGGCCGGCGGACTTCTAAGCAGAGCTCAACCAACGGTCTAACAAAGTTCACACAAAGCTCAACCAACAGTCAACCAAAGCTCAAGCAAGGCTCCAACAAATCTCAAGCAAAGCTCAAACAAAGCTCCAACATAGCTTCAACAAAGCTCATATTTAGCTCAACCAAAGCTCCAACAAGCGCAAACAAAGCGCAAACAAAGCTCCAACAACCTCCGAAAGAGCTCCAACAACTATCCAGCTGCCTACGACAAGTCCCGCCACCTTGCCTGGGTTGTGGTTCTGAAGTCTACTGGATATTCGTTTGGATCTCGTGGGAGGCCTCTCGGGGGCTTTTGGGAGGCAGTTTGGAGGCTTCTTAGGCGCTATTGGGGTCTCTTTTGGGCCTCTTGGGGGCATCTTGGGGCCTCTTGGGGGCCTCTTGGGGGCCTCTTAGGCCCTTTTGGGCGCCTCTCGGGGTCTCCTGGGGGCCTTTTGGGGCGGAAGGCTCGGATTTTCGGCTCGTGTTCCTTCTCTTAGGCCCTTTGTGGGGCCGTCTTGGGGCCCTCTTGGGTCCTGTTGGGCGCCTCTTGGGCCGTCTTGTGGCGCTCTTAGACCGTCTTGGTGCCTCTTGGAGACCTCTTGGGCGTTCTGGGGTGGTCTTGGGGGCCTCTTGGGTCGTCTTGGAGCTTCGGAAAGCCGAAAAGGCGAGAACGCCCAAATCCTTCAAACACCTACAGGATATTACTGATTTTTGCTGATTTTTGCCTCTTGGAGCCCTCTTGGAGGCCTCTTGGGACGTCTTGGAGGGCTCTTGGGCCATCTTGAGGCCATCTTGGGCGTCTTCGAGCGATTGTTTTTCGATTCGGGGCCCTCATGGCTTGGGGGCCTCCTGGGCCGTCATGGAAGTCTCGGAGAGCCCGAGGCGCCACGGCCGCCCACGGACCCCCTGGGAGTAGAGGTGGTGCAGTCGGGTGGGCGCGTGACCAGGGGGGGTGAGTGGGCCCATTAGAAGACTACAGGAACACTGCCAGGCAGCCCTTGGCATTCTTCCATGCCTCAACGTGCACACAGCACAGTGGCGGATGATCAAACAAAGGTCAAACAAAGCTCAAGCAAAGCTCAAGTAAAGTTCAACCAAAGGTAAAACACAGCCCAAACAAAGCTCAAGCAAAGTTCAAACAAAGCTAAACTAAAGCTCCAAGCAAAGCGCAAGCAAAGCTCCAACGAAGCTCCACCAGAGCTCCAGCAAAGCTTCAAGAAAGCTTCAACGAAGCCCAAACAAGGTCAACCAAAGCTCAAACAAAACTCCACTAACGCCCAAACAAAGCTCAAAATCAGTTCGAACTCCAGGAGTGGAGGGGATCGTACCCCCCGCCCCTCCAGTTCGAACCGGGGGGGGAGTCTGGCCTCTCCCCCCCCCCCGGCTTCCGGGCAGGGGCTTCCTCCCCCTCCCGCACCCCGGCTCGAACCGGGGGGGGGGGGCTTCTGTCTGTGCTCTTTCCCCGCCGGCCCCCTCCAGTCTCGGGGGAGGGGGGGTGCTCCGCCCCCCGCACCCCGCCCCCAGAGTTGGGGGGGTGGGGGGGGGGGGCGGAATTACCCCACCCCCTCGGGTGGCGGGGGGGGGGGAATATTTCCCAGTCAGAACGACTCCCAGGGCCGCGCGCTCCCTTTGGAACTCCCGCGCTGCTCCGCCCCGCTCCTATCGGCAGAGATGCGACTCCCCCCCCCCCCCCCCCACATGCGCGCGCGCGCGGAGCTGTTTAGGCGCCAGCCTTGTCCACGTGCGGGTGGCTGCCACTGGAAAAACATGTTAAGACGTTGCACATACTGTTCGATTGGCACCCCCCCTACAGTCAGTCAACCCGCATCGTGAGGATGGGCGACCTTCCCAAGGGTACCCTGGCATCCTTGCCTCCTCGGCCCATCCTTGGCCACCCTCGTCGGCCGCGCCCCGCTCGAAAAGCTTCGCCGTGGCCTGCCAAGGCCCTTGCATCCTCATCGCGCATCCTTGCTATATACGGGTTGGCTGTATGCCATCCCGCCTGATGGCCCGTCCCGCCCACTCCCTCAAAGCCCACCGAGCCCACCCTTTGAGCGATTTTTTTTGCGCGCCCCGCGACGGACGGCCCGCCTCCTGCGCCCCCACGCGATGCGACCCCCGCCGCGCTCAAGGAACAACTCGGTGTAAAGCGCCCATCGCTCGCTGGAAGTATGCAGGTGTGCTCGTGGACTCCCAGGTTCCAGTCTGCTCTAGGCGCCTTCCTACTTCAGCCTTCGAACGGCTCCCCTTTCCCCCCCTCTTCCGGGGGCGGGCGGAAGCCCGGTCTCTCTCCTCAGCGCCTTCCCGCTCTCCGCCCTTGCCCGCTGCTTCCGCACGGCTGGGAGGTGCTCGAGCCTGTGCTGGCCTCGCGCTCCTCGCTCCTGGCTCCTGTCCTGCCCCCCCCTGTGCAGGTGCGGGCCCCCGGGACCCCGACCTCCGGGCCTCGAGCCTCGAGCCTCGAGCCCTCTTTGAGGGGGGCGAGGCGCCTCCGAGGGGAGGCCCGCCCGAGATGCCGAGCCTCGATGCCGCGGGGGCGCCTCCCGCGGAGGATCGAGCGAGGATCGAGGCTCAAGGATTGCTCCTCGCTCCTCGGTGATTCGTCGGCGAGCGAGGGGGGGGGAAGCGAGAAGGAGGAGGCCTTCTCAGAAGGCGGCGGGTCTTCTCCGAAGCCCTCGCGCCTTCTGAGAGGTCTTTCCCGCGTCTTGGGGGAGGGCCCAGAGCATTCCCAGCAGGCCCGAGGACTTTTCCGAGCCTTCCGAGAAGGCCCGCCCTTTCTCCCCCCCCTCGCTCGCCGCCGGTGCCCCCAAACCTTGATCCTTGATCCTTGAGCCTCGAGCCTCGATCCTCGATCCTTGATTCTTGAGCCTTCAGCCTCGATCCTTGAGCCTCGAGCCTCGAGCCTCGATCCTCGATCCTCGATCCTCGATCCTCGATCCAAACCTTGATCCTTGATTCTTGATCCTTGATCCTTGAGCCTCGAGCCTTGAGCCTCGATCCTCGATCCTGGACGCCTCTCAGGGGGGGGGCATCGCCTCCCTGGGAGAGGCTCGCCCGAGGGCCGAGCCCCTCGCTCCCGCGGGGAGGTGCCTCGAGGGAGGAGCGAGGCCCCAGGGACCGCCCCCCGATCCTCGGTGACGCCCTGCCCCCAGGCGCAGGTTTAAGTCGGGCCTGTCCCCCTACAGGGGGATTCTCGACGAAAAATAAAACATCCCCCGAAATAGCCAAAAAATGCTCCAAAAGTAGTCTGGGGACTATTTGTTGAGTATTTTCTGACCTTATGGGGGTATTTTTGGGATATCTTTTTATTTTTCATAGAAAATCCCCCTGTAGGGGGACACGCCCGACAAAAGCGCAGGTGCTGATGCTCGTGCAGGAGGTGGTGGGCAAGATGTGCACCATCGAGACGCGCGCCCCCGGAGGCGCGGCGGCCCCGCTCTCTCTCTCTCTCTCTCTCTCTCTCCGTGGGCGTCGGCGGCAGCGCAAGCGACACCACCCCGCCGATAGCCCTCGAGGCTGCGCTGCGGCCCACCGGGGGCCGTGGCGTGTCCCGCGCAAAGCATCACCGACCGGCAAACCACCCCAGCCCAACCCAGAGGCCCCAATCGGCTCTCCATTCCCAAAGGGGCGGGGTGGGAGCGTCGGGGAACATCGACAAAAGTCACGTGTGGGTCCCGCCCCCCCCCCCAAAGCCGAAATCTGGCTCTTCGGGTCAGGTTGGGGTGGTCTGGCAGGTGGTCAGCAAACCCACGCCAGGCTTCCTGGTGCACGTGAGCCCCGAGGGGCCGTGGGCGGGGTGGTGCCTTGTTGCCTGGACAGAACACCTGGGCGACACAACCCGAAGGGAGGTGCCCAAGGTGCCTGCATGAATTCACATGCAGTCGGACCTCGCAACACGAACGCCGGCACGGACCCGCCCCAGGCGTTATCCGCGCCGCCGTGGCGAGGTGCCTCGAGATGCCACCCCGAGACACGGCCACCGGCACCACCCCCACTTGGCCGCCGGCCTCAAGCAGCGGAGGCCCCGCTGCCCAAGGGCTGGGCGGTGTGGTGCCGCTGGTTTCCTGGTCCAGGCTGGGGAGGCCGTGGCGCGCGCGCGCCCGAGGACGCCCCTCGGAGGGCCCCGCCGGGCCCATTCCGGTCCGGTTTGTCCGCTTCGACGTCGGTCCTGGCCGGCCCGCTGCGATCCGATTCCGGCGCTCCCGCGATCCGCGGCGGCCCGGTGCCTGCCCCGCGCCGTTGTGCAGCCTGGCGCGGCCGCTCCGATCCGATGCCGTCTCCGTGCCCGATGCAGCCCGACGTGACGAAGGTTTCCGTGCGATCCGATTTTTCCCCAGTCGACGCTGCCTGCTCCTGCCCTACGGGAGGCCCCTTGGGACGGCCCTGCTGGGGCACTCCGGCGCTTCGGGTTGCCGCCGCCACTGTCGTCACAGCCGCCGCCGCTGTCGTCGTCGTCGTCGTCGTCGTCGTCGTCGTCGTCGTCCTACTCCTCCTCCTCCTCCTCCTCCTCCTCCTCCTCCTCCTCCTCCTTGAAGGTGCCCTGGCTTAGCCGAGCCGTGGCCGCAATTGACGCAATCTGCAGCAGCAGCGGCCGCAGGGAATGTAAAAAGCAGAATCGTACTGGAGGAGCCGGCCCTCGAGGGCCCCCCTGGCCCTTGCCCCTCCCGCTGCGCCTCTTCCTCGCCCGGCTTCGGGCCCCTGGGCCATCACGGGTCGATCGGGCCCGAGAATTGCGGCAGCGAGATGGGCTCCAGGGCTCCGGCCGTGATCTTTCGCGATGTCTTCCGCAGCGTCGGATCTCGCGGCCCTCCGGGAGGCCCCATCGCAGGCCCCATCGGCCCCCTCGGAGGGCCCTCGGAGGCTCTCTTTCGACAGGATCTCCCGTGGCCCGTGGCCGGAGGGTTCCGGCACGCCAGAGCAGCGTGTTCGTTGCCATCATGCGTAATCAGTCACGTTGTGCAGGCTTTTGTCGACTCTGCCATGTGGTCGTACTCGTACTCTCCTCTCCTCTTCCTTCCCTCTCTTCCCCACTCCTCCACCCTTCCTCCTCTGTGCCCTCGCTCCCTCTCCCCTCCCATCCACCCTTCGCGGTGCTGGCGAAGGTCAGAGGGTGGCCCGAGGGCTTGCGATAGATCTACTTCGCATTTCCATTATCCTTCCCTCCCCTCCTCCCTCCTCCTCCTCCTCCTCCTCCTCCTCCTCCTCCTCCTCCTCTCCTCCTCCTCTTCCTCCTCCTCCTCCTCCTCTTCGCCTTCCTCCTTTTCCTCCTCATAGTCGTCCTCATGGTTTTCCTCCCCCTCCTCTTCCTCTTCCTCTTCCTCCTCCTTCTCTTCCTCTTCCTCCTCCTCCTCTTCCTCCTACCATCCCTCCCTCCCACCCATCCCTCCCTCCTCCCTCCCTCCCTCCCTCCCTCCCTCCCTCCCTCCCTCCCTCTCCCTTCTCCTCCGTAGCCATTTGGGCCAGAGTGTTGTCTGAGCGCTCCCACACAGCAGGCCCTCTGGGGCCGACGGGGGCGCGCAGCCTGGGGCGTGGCAGCACGGTGCGCCATGCGTGCCGCGGGGCCCACATCCGCTCGGCCACTCGCCACGGGGCACACAGCGAAGGGCCCCCGGCTCGCTGCGGAGCACCCGACGGAGTTCCAGCAGACGCTGCGGGCAGCGAGGTGCACGCTCGCGCTGCCAGAGGCCGGCGACCACGGAGGGCAGCAGGGCGGCGGTGGTCGAGCGAGGCGAGGCCGTCCTGGCGCAGCAGGTCGAGCTGTGGTGCGACGAGCGGCGGGCGATGGCGCACTTGCTCGGCGACATCCGCCCACGTGTCTGGGCGGCACTTGCAATTCTGCCGGAACAGGCGGGGTCCAACGAGTTCTTCATCAGAGACTCGGGCGCGGCAGCGAGGGAGGAAGTTTTCGACCTTGGCGCGATGGTGGGGATACCGAAATGGAGGTCCAGGATCCCTGTGCTGAGTATGGTGCGCTGCGGGGCCTGGTATGCGAGGCCACGCAGGGGGTCGCCGCCGGCGACGCGATGGGCGGGGACGAGGGCCGCGGAACGCGCGAGGCTGCAACGTCTCGCGGAGGAGCTGGTGCACAAGCGTGATGAAGCGAAGGCGCTGGCGGTGGCGCTGACGGGGGGAGCTAATGGAGGCCAAGCTGGTGGCGTGGGAGGCCTTGCGGGGCCACGGCGCCGCACTCGGCCATCAGCTCGACGCCGCCAGGGAGGAGCAGGGGGTTGACTGGCCTCGGCAGACTGGGGTGGCTGGAAGCAGCAGGTTCTCGGAGCTGGAGCAGAGGCTGGCACCGCCTGGCGGCCAGCCCCTGGGCTGGCGGCCAGGACGAGCACAGGCGCGGGGATCTCGCGCGGAGAGGCCGCGGCCATCGCGGTGCACGAGAAGGAAGGCCTCCGCGAGAAGGACGGCGACATGCAGGATAAGCTGGTGCTGGAGCAGAGACTGGCGCCACTGCCGCCCCCCCCCCCCAAGCCGACGGAGTGCCGTGCCCCGCACGGCGAGGACGAGGTCGCCGACGGCCAGGACGGGATCGTCTCGGCAAACGGCGTCGGCATTCGGGCCACAAAGCGTTGGGCTGACGACCCGGATCTGCACAGCCCACTGGTCACTGAGGTGCTCCAGGAGCAGACAGGGTGCCCGAGGGACATGGCCACGGAGCTGGCGCGCGACTCGGATGCAGACCCTGTGTGAGAGCTCGGGCGCATCCACGGCCTGGACCAGATGGCCTGGGAACTCCAGGGCCTCGACGAGGACGAGGACGTACGAGCCGCAACAAGATATGTTATTGCATCCCCTGGCGATGACAGGCGTGACCGGAGGCGGAGGGGGGGAGGGTCCTGTCCTGTCACGTCACGACCAGGGGGGGAGGGCTTGGCGGCGGGGCCGGTCACTGGCATTTTCGCGACTCATGAAAACAGGGCTCCTTATCGAACAGGACAGCATGGACATGGAGACCCTCCTCCGAGACAGGGTGTAGCCTCGGAAGCATCGCAGGTGGCTTGGGGCCAGCCCGTTGCTCTGCGGCTGGCGGTGGTCTCGGAAGCATCGCAGGTGGCTTGGGGCCAGCCCGTTGCTCTGCGGCTGGCGGTGGTCTGCGGTGGATGCAAGGCTGTGGGCGCAGCCGCAGGAGGCGAACATGAAGGGGAAGGAGCTGCAGCGCGTTGCTTTGGCCTTCGGGGCGGGGGGACTCCAACCCCCCCAAACCTGCAAACATGGGACATCGCCCCCCCCGCCCCACCCCCGTGGTGTGCCAGGGCTAATCTTGATCCCTCCGAAGTGACTCGATCCGATTCGATTTCGATCGACTCCGATTCCAATGCGATTCGACTTGGGATTCCGATTCGGATTTTTCGGTCTCTCCATGGAGGCACCGGCCTGCGGGCTTCCGCCGCTTTGATGCATGTCGATCGCCGAGCCGACTCGTCGATTCGATTCCGGGCCCTCCTGCCATACCACGGCCGCCTTGGTACACACCCCAGGGGGGGGAGGGAGTCGGTGTCCCATCTTCGGTCGTGCTCGGGAGTCCGCTGGGGCCCTGTCGGGCCCCCTTCTCTCAGGAGGGAAAGAAACACACAGACACAAGTAATCGTCGATTCCGCAGAAAATATGGGAAAATATGGGAAGTGGGGGGGAAGACAAAAACTGAGAAAATAAATATGGGAAAATATAGGGAATCCTGTTATTTATGTGTATTTATTTGTGTGTCCCAGGGTCCTTTCATTTTCTTCGGAGGCGACGACGGGGGCGAACAGCCCAGGGGAGAGCAATGCTCGGCGGCGACCCCCGGGGGGGGAGTGAGGAGGGGCGGGCCTTCTCGGAATGCTCGGAGGTCCCCTGGTTTTGTACGCTGGTTTTCTGACAAGTTCTCTAAGCCTTCCCCGAACACGCAGAAAGCTCAGAGGGCGCGAAGGCTTCTGAGAAGTCCCGCCGCTTTCTGAGAAGGCCTTCTCCTTCTCCCCCCCTCGCTCGCCGCCGAAATACATGTATCCAGGGGCGCCGATGGTTCGTGTCTTCGGCGAGGCCCCCAGAAGAATGCGTGTGATCTCCTCCGACTTTTCTCGGGCCCCGCCTGCTGGGGAGGGGACGGGCGTCGCGGGCGGGGACCGCGCGACGTGCTTGCCAGAGGCTCAAGGCGCGGTTCCCTCTGAGGGGAGGTCCGTGCAGCAGTGTAGCGTCCTGCCGACTGTCGAGCTTCAAAGAATTATTAGAATTCGAGACTCTGGGCCTCAGGATGCATCAGGGGTTCCCGTTCAGCACACTGATCTGCTGGGTCGTCCCCACGGTGCTCAGGACAGTGGTCGAACCCGCGTCGTCGGCAAGTTTCGGGTGGGCCTTCCGAGAGAGGATTGGAACGAAGAACCATCATCGTGGAAGTCGATTAATGGAGAGGAAGCATGCTGCCAAATATTGTTCAGAT